AAAATGAAGAAAATAAGACATACTTCAAAATGTTGTTGAAAGAATCCTATACTAACAGATGCCATGTGTTTGCACATATAGGAGGATTAGGAGGAACTTAACAGAGGACCATAGGGGAGAAGAAGGGGGGAAAATAGTTGGGGAGAGGGAGAGAGGCAAACCATAAGAGACCCTTGAATGCTGAGAACAAACTGAGGACTGACGGGGGGTGGGGGGGGAGGGGAAAGAAGGTGATGGGCATGGAGGAGGGCACTTGTGGGGATGAGCACTGAGTGTTATACGGGAACCAACTTGACAATAAACTATTAAAAAATAAAAATAAAAAAAGAGAAAGAATCCTATACTATTCCATAGTGGCCTCAACTGGCTAAATGGGGCTGACCAAACACTGAAAGATCCAGGCTTCTGAGATAGAGTCTAATTTGTTAATACACAGCAGTTAATTCTTCAGCCCTATGGACCAGCCTCAGGCTAATGAGTATCTACAGTGGATGTGATGAAATTAAGCCATTTTACAGAAAGGAAGCATGAGTTGGTCCTCAATGGGAGGTACATATAGGTGACTAGATACTTCCTATCACAATGACTCTGGATATATGGCCTAGCACATTACCATATTAAAGTTTCCAAGAACGTGACAAGAAGAAAGAAATAGTTAATTAACTTTTTCTACATGGCAGAAAACTTGGCTACCATAGCAGTTTTACATTGTAGAGCTTTCGCCCCTGGAGGGAAATTATGTCATTTTCTTATTGGTCTACAAGTCTAAACACCCCAGGCAAGAGACTGTGTTGAACACTTGCTGATCCGTAAGCTATGACTGGGGCTAGTGAGTATGACTCATGCTGTTTTGAGGAGACAGCTCCTAATGAAACATTTGGAAAGAGTGGGAAGGCCAGCCAGTGTCTAGAGAAGGGATACTGGAACAGGAAATTCCATAAGTGTTCATTAAAGAGTATGGACGAGGTAAACAAAAGAGTCTACAAGTATAAGAATAATGACCTGGCCAGTGGAGTACACAAATTGGGGGAGGAAAAAAGGGTGGTGTTGCAGAAGAAGTAGAATTTTTAGTGAATGGCAGATACAGAGAAGAGGAAGAGTCAAAGACAACAGCATGGTTTAAAATCTGAGAAATGGGGGCTCCTAGAGAGCTCAATGGGTTAAGTGTCTGATTTTGGCTCAGGACTCTTGGGTTTGAGCCCCACGTGGGGCTCAGTGCTGAGAGCTCAGAGCCTGGAGCCTGCTTGAGACTGTGTCTTCCTCTCTCTCTCTCTGCCCCTCTCCCACTTGTTCTCTCTCTCTCTCTTTCTCTCCTCTCTCTTCTCTCTCAAAAATGAATAAACATTAAAAAGAGAGCCCTCCCCTTTTTTTAAAAATTAAAATATGAGTGATGAAAGGAATATTTTGTTTAAACACTTCTATAGTGCTTATGACATGCCTAGAACTATTTTTAAGTACCTTATACAAATTAACTGATTTAATTCTTTATTTTCTAATTTAATTCTTTTTTAAAAATGTTTTTATTTATTACCGAGAGAGAGACAGAGACAGAGACACACACAGCGTGAGCAGGCACAGGTCAGAGAGAGGGAGATATAGAATCTGAAACAGCCTTCAGGCTCTGAGCTAGTTGTCAGCACAGAACCAGACCCAGGGCTCATACCCACGAACTGTGAGATTATGACCTGAGCTGAAGTCGGACGCTCAACCGACTAAGCAACCCAAGTGCCCCCTTATTTAATTCTTTTTTTTTTTTTAAATAGTTTTTTGTTTATTTTTGAAACAGAGACAGAGCATGAGCAGGGGAGGGGCAGAGAGAGAGGGAGACACAGAATCTGAAACAGGCTCCGGGCTCAGAGCTGTCAGCACAGAGCCCGACGTGGGGCTCAAACCCACAAACTGTGAGATCATGACCTGAGCCAAAGTCAGACGCTCAACCGACTGAGCCACCCAGGAGCCCCATTTAATTCTTAATAACAATGCACTGTGGTAAGGAAAAAGAGGCACAAGGAGGTTAAGCAACTTGTCCAAGACCACAGTTAGGTGGCAGAGTAGGGCTTCAGACCTAGCAGGCCTGTTATAGAGTAACAAAATGGCATTGGCAGTCAGACTTCACATATGCCAAACCATCCAGGGACTGAGACACGGCTTCTGATGACTGCTGCCATAGAAGATAGAACAAGCATCTTTTCATGACTCATTTACCTTGAATGGGTTACAGGTCCATTATAACCAGAATGATAAGATATATATGATTAGCTAATATATATCAGGGCTAGGACAATCCTACATAAGCAACAGGACTGGCAAAGGATGAGAAGGAATTCCACAAAGTAAAAATTTGGTTAATATTGATAGAAGATGGGGAAGTAGAGGTTGGTGACAAAAATAACAAATTGAAAACCACAAAAAAGGAAACAAAGTAGAGGATTTTACTCTTAGAAGGGTTAACAGAATCAGGAGAAGAGGAAATAAGACAGTACAGGATGGACAAGAAAACAAAAGCCTGATTTGGAGTCCTGCTGAATTTGCTGCAGAGATTTCAGCAGGGGCTAAGTGTTCTCCCCTGGATCATTGGTACCAAGACAGAAAAACCTTCATCTGTCACATAATCTCACTTTTTACCGGGTTCACCTGAAGGTGAACCTTGTCTCTCTTATGTTGAAACGTCTTTTCCTCCTGGCTGTTTTTTTCTCAGTGCTGTATCCAAGCAGATTTATTTTTACCTCCCTGCTTCCTTTCATCCTCAGTTTGAGCAGAAAATCAAGAACTGGGATTTTCATAGATAATTTAATCTCATGTCTTTATATTTCAACTTAAAAAGAGCAACTCTTCTACCAGAGTGACTTTATCAGGGTTAAACCATGGTAATGTGAGAGAGGAGCTCTATTTAACTGTCTTCTAATTTTTCCCCTCATCTCTATTCTTTGAGTTGTAGTCAGTCTTAGTTCGGCCTCAACATAGTTATTCTTTTTGATGGGAGTTGTTGAAGCCAAGATCCGAACCTTGAGAGGTGAGGAAATATATAATATATAAACACTAAGGTGCTATGTCTCATAAGTCTCTCAAAAATATGTAGTTGTACAAAAGGACTCTTTCATTCAATAGAACAAGTAAATAAGGAAGAAAAGTCGCTTGTGGATTTTAATTAGCATGATGATTGAATACTAAGTAATTTTTGCTGAGTCACTCTTTTTGGAGAAATAAGAACTTCAAAGATCATGGAAGTAGCTCCCTGCTGCATTGAAACATAGATTTCTAGATTACTGTTAAGTGGTAGCTGCTTTATTGATTGGGCAAAGCTTAAACTGGAGAAGAACCACTTACTGAATTTTCTCATTTCCATAGTAGTCTGATTATGATAAGGAAAATATCAATTTATAGTCTGGTAAGATTCACATCTTTTAGGTACAGTTTAATCGTTTCATTCATTTCCCCTTTATATACACAGTTTATAAAAGTAGGATTCCTAGATGTCTTTCATCTTTGGAATGAACAGTGTAGAGTATACTCCTCCTTTGCTTCCTCCTCATTCTCCCCTACCCCAATTTCAGCTCATGTATGTTCCCCTCCTTAAATGGAAAGAAATTGCATGTTGAGTGCTTCCTCCTGTAATAGTAAGAAGCAGAGCAGCGCTGTCATCTGCTTCATTTTATGGACACTAGTGATTTTCCTGTAGAGGGATAACTGTTGATTAAATATTTTCCATGCTGCTTCCACATTTCCTGGTTCTGCAGCTCTTGTTTCCCTGACTTAAAGCAAAAATATTGCTTGGTTAAGACACCATGCTCTATTTCAAATCAGTTTGCCACCAACATTTGGTTATTGGGATATCATTTAAAATAGAGTCTACTCATATTTAAATATTACTCACCTGACCAAAAACAAATCAGGACACCTTCTTCATCCATTCATTAATTTAATAAAGGATTTTTAAAGAGCTCTTTATAATTATACTGCTTCTAGAAATATAATCTCTAAGCTGATGTGTAGCTATTGTTTAATAAATTTATCAAAGCATGTATAAATGCATAAAAGCATATTTATATATCTGCAACCTTTATTTACATTTACCAGCTGGAGGAATTATAATGTCTGCCAATTGCTATATTGTCAGTAGTCACTGGTGGATCTTACTAGAGCAAACATACCACTTCAAAACATACCAGAGCAAAACAACAATAGCATCAACTCTTACCATTGGTACCACTACAACTATGTCTACTAATTTTATAAAGTAAGCCTGATGGCTATATTTATTCTCATCTTAAAGGAGGAACCTGAAGCTGAGCATATTTCAGTGCAGGGAAGAAATACCCAAGGCAGAAGCAGGGAATTAAACCAGGTTTTCTGATTTGCAAGAATACTTATTTTGGTATCCAGTATTTTGTTATAATGACATCTTAATCTATTAAGAAAATTTACACGGGTATTTAAAAATCCACTATAAGCCTTGTTGGATCCTGATGCTAACAAATTACAGAAGGAAAAAAAAGAAAAGAAAAATTGCCTCTCATCAAAGTAAGATCAGTTAACACATTTATACAAAAATAACACATTAAAAATATTTTCACATCAATAGTGAGAATACAAACTTCTTGGTCATTATGGCTGGCTTTCCTTATCCTCCAAAACTTTGTGATTTTACTTGGTGTTGAAGCACTGGGGAAGCTGGTTTGGATATCAGTCAATAGTCTGCCATAGATGAGCTGCTATGACACTAACCCAGTTGACATGGCCACTTCAGGTCTGGAACTCTACTGTTTATGTGTTATACTTGGGCACAGAGTATTATCTTTTATGGCCTAGGATTCTTGGTGTCTATGATCCTGACTCCTTAGACACATCATCCCATTCCCTTCTAAAGTCTTGCCAACTTCTGAGCTTGCTGTCACAGAGCATATGTAGCTGTTGCTCAGAGGGACTCACAGATCTCATTCCCCTTTCAGGCTGCTTCAGCCTATTAAATTGTATCATCTCTCCTTTCTTCCTAGACTTACTGAACCTCAAAGTATCATTTCCTCTCTGCTTCTGGACCTTGCCAAAATTTCTGGAGGCTGGAGTACAAAAGATTGATATTTTGCTTGAGGAAAGGCTATAAGGAGGACACACACATTATCCTGCCAAACACATTACTATAAAAAGGTAATCATCATTGCTCTTTTTAGTTATTTTAAAAAAATCTACTAAGCCCCAAAGCTTTCATCTTCTATTCTGGGCTGATATGTGGAGAAATTTTGGCTGGTAACATTTGCATTGGCCTTGGGAAAGGGTAGAAGGAAAAGATCCAACCTCCAATTCTTGGTAGTAAGTGGAAATTCCTTGTGACTCTTATTTGGAGCAATAACATATTAGTTTTATTTTTCTCATTTTAATAAGATTAAATGTAAGATTTTCAAAAGCAGAAAGCAAAGGAAAATACGCCCACTTGCATGCTTTTCTGTTATCAGCTTATATGTATCTACAAAGCAGAAAGAAGTGCCAGTTCTCTCCAAAATGAAAGACTGGAACATTCTCCAGAAGAAGGTAAGCAGACTCATCTTTTCTCATATCTAATCTTCTTGCACTCAGAAAAATACTGACAGTGAAAGTATAACTAAGATGTTAACTCTGAATTTGGGTAAATTATTTGACCATTATCAAAAGTCCTTTCTTTGCTCCATGAAAAAATATTTTTATACCTTAATTTCATTCCAATTTAATTTCCTCTCTGAACAACTGGCCAACAACTCTTGTCCTTCTGGTGCTGTGCTCACCATTTCCTGGGATCAGAAGCACTGTCTGCTTTTGGAATGGTTTACCCTGCAAGGTCTTCATCCAGTTTAATCCAGTATCAAGCATTCTGTAGCACAATATATGGGAGTGTTAGATCATTAACAGAGTTTTTATTCTGAGTCTTTCACAAGCTGCAGTGCTGTGTGATTGTGGCTGGGTCTTAAGGCACTTTATGATATCACTTCCCCATTTTAAAAACAAATAAAGATTGTAGCCATTTATTTTGATATTTTAAGCTTGATTCCCTGTACTTACTTTCTTTTTTTTTTTTAATATTTTTATTTATTTCTAGGAGAGAGAGAGAGAGAGAGACAGCGTGAGCAGGGGAGGGTCAGAGAGAGAGGGAGTCACAGACTGTGAAACAGGCTCCAGGCTCCGAGCTGGCAGTCAGCACAGAGCCCGACGCGGGGCTCGAACCCACAAACCGCGAGATCATGACCTAAGCGAAAGTCGGACGCTTAACCGACTAAGCCACCCAGGCGCCCCGCTGTACTTACTTTCTTAACACCCCACAAGACTTTTAATAAAACTGGTCCATCTTCTGAAAACAGATTAAGAATCCTTGAAAATAGTTCTATCCCACAAAGAGTAGATTACAACTGTCCTATACTTTTGTGGAAGGTCTAGATACAGGAATATGTGAAAGATGGATGAATTCAGTGGTTTGTGAGATGTTACCAGGAAATTCACCCTGTGTTCACTCTGGCATTAAGATCCAGCAAAATAGGAGAAAATAATACTTGAGAAGTAAATGCATTTTAGGTTAAAAGAAAAAGAGGGGGAAATGAAATGAAATAAAATAATCATAATGTAATGGACTTACAAACCCTTAAGCCCTATTTTAAACTTTAAAATCCTCACAAGATCTGGATCAGTCTCAGAGAATGACAAATGGAGTTCATTAATAATAAAGAACACTTGAGAAATTAAGAGAATATTGTACCTATGCTTAGTGATATGATGTTTTTAAAGGGAGTGTACAGTCAGAATTCTAAGATAAGACATTTCATCAGTCTTGTCAGAGATATGTTTTTTGAGCCAGGGAAAAACTCTGGGACTTGATAGGGTTCCATAGATTCCTTGTTTGAATATGGTTACAAAATATGTGACTGAATTATTAATAGAAACAGATGATAGCCAGTTCTTATTATTGGAAGTATTTTTCTTTTATATTTAGCTAGGAGTTATCCAATTCGTATTAAAATTTATTATTTATTTTTGAGAGAGACAGAAAGCCTGACACAGGGCTTGAACGCACGGACCATGAGATCATGAGATCATGACCTGAGCCGAAGTCGGACAGTTAACTGACTGAGCCACCCAGGTGTCCCTATCCAATTGTTTTTAAAAGGCATCTCCAACTGGGCTTAGCCAAAGGTTAAACACTAGCTCAGGGTTACACAATATCTTGGTTTTCCAACTGTCATGAAAACAGGGTTCCCACTCTGCTACATTGACCCATGAGCTGTACCACCTTGTTGGCAGATTGAGATCTCCCTGGGCCCAAAGCAATGATCTTGTTTCTGTTTGTGGTTGGATGGAAGATGTTCACTTGGCTAATGATCCCTGTGACCCAAAGAAAAGCAGGTGAAGGCTGAGGTTAATGCAATATTGAAGTGTTAAGAGGCTTTTTCACAACTCAGGAAACTCTCTTAGCTGAGCTATTTCTCCTGAAATGTTGAGTCCTGTTTTCCATGGCATGGTGCAGCTGATGTTGTCACTCTGTGGTCAGGAGCAGGAAAGCTGGTGGGGTGGAGAGAGATTAGTGGTCTGAAAATATGTAATTGGTATTGCATGGCAGCAGGGAGTTGACAGCCCTCAGGGACCGCAAACAGGAGAGGACCAACAGCTCGAGTGAATTAAAACAAACTGTGATTTTGGAAAAAAAAAAAAAAAAGTAAGAGAAACATCATTGAGTATTTAAGAATTTGATAAATTATGGATGAATTCTGTATTGCCCTCTTAAGAAGGTAAAGTGTTAAATGAGATATTGTATGTAAGGAAGTTAGTATGGTGCCAGGATCATAGTTATTAATCAATTAAAAATCTGGTAGTTTTTGTTATTATTATTTATAGGGGAAGCAGGTCGGTATATTTTAATCTTAGAAATAGTATTATTTCATTGGAATTTTCCCCCATTTGCACTAGAGAATTCTGATCCTCGATTCATATCCTGTACCTGACATTGTGGGTGGAAAAACTCCACTCATGAATTTGGATAGAGCAGGCACACTGCTACGGCAGTTGCCATCCAACTGACTGTGGTTAGTTTGTATAATTGAAGCCAAGCAAAGCTAAGGCAATGCTGGTACATGGATCCTTCTGTTAGACTAAATAAAGAACAATGAGACCATTTTTATGGGGGGAGGAGAAAAAAATGTTTTTAACAGTAGGGAATGGCTTAAGTCTAGGAACCTTAGGCTGTTACCAAATATTGAGGAAAAACTGCACAGAAATCTATAGTCACCCAGATATTTCCAGAAATCCAGTCTTTGATTTCATTGTAGATGAAATTAGGGAAAGATTAGACTTTTTTTTTTTTTCGGGCATTGTGAGACACAGCCTTAGCATCTTTCTGGTTCGCTTGTAGGTCTCTCTATTTCGAACTGTGTCAGGGATTCATCCTGGACCAGCACAGCTGCTTTCAGGATGTCAGTCCACTGCTAGGGCCACTCTTCAATCTATAAAGGACTGTTTATTTTGTGAAAAGTTTGCACAGGGATGTAGCCCAGATGGAGGTCTGGTTCATTGGAATGAGCCAGCCAAGTTTGGTATGTTGGTAGCTTCAAGTCACAGAATTAAAATTTACAAAGCAATGACATTTAACTTTCCTTCCTGGAGATCAACCAAGGAAGATCCTTCTGACATCCAAAAAAGTTAAGTCAGTTCAAATCTGTAATAGTATCGTCTTGAGTATCTGGGAATTTTAGCAAGAACAATTCTTTGCTCAGGACAAGATGATAGAGAATGAACAGTATAGGTATAGGCTTAATACAACACTTTCCACAAAGCAAATCTTCCAAATGTTGGCCGTTGAGTGAATGAATCAAAATATTTTAAAAAGAGGTGGTTTTGACATGAAGTCCAAGATTTAATTAAACACTTTTCACCTTCATTTTTCTTATATAGTGGAAACATGTAAAAGCATGACCTCAATATTCTGAAGGACATAGATTCAAATCCTAAGAAAATCACTAATGGTTTTCAAGTTCCCTCAACCATAAAATAAAAATTATAATCTATATGAATTTTGTGAAAATCAAATCAGATATTTATAAAGAACTATATGTGACTCATAGTAGGTGCTCAATAAATATTGGTTCTCTCTACTCTAGTTGTTCTTTCAACCCTCTCTTTAAGCATGACTTTAATTCCAGGCATAAATGCTTAATATGCAAAGGAATAAAAGGAAAATTCCGAGATATATCTTTTAGAGATTCAATTCTAGTGATCCGCTGCATGTTTGTCTTCTATGATTATGTCACTGGATGGACTATACAGCAATGAGCAATGCATTCAGAGGAGTATTGTCAATAATTTATGGTGATGAGGATACTGTATAAAAATTTTAACAAGTTCATCAAAACTCCTGGGATATTTACATGGTATATTATAAGATCTACCTATGAAGTTGTTTTTGAAAAAAAAAAATTGGGCATGAGATGCTTCTCATTCCATGAAAGGAATGCCAGAGAACTAATGTTATAGCTAACCCAAGAAACTATAGCATTTGGAGAATTCACCAGTCTTCCTGAAAATCCTATGAGGCTATCCTCAAACGCAAATCAAGGAAGTATACTCCAGAGTAAGATTCTTCTGTCATACTCAGTACCTATCTCATAGTCTGTACACAATTGGAGTACTTATTTCCACTGGAAATACTAGTTCCTGCCTTTATTATCACATGACTTCAGAACATTGAGCCTAGGGAGTGGTGAGCTGCTGTGAAGTTCTGCATTGGAAGAGTCTAGGAACTATGAAAGGAAGCAAATCTTTAGGGCAGTTAGAGCTGAATGTAGCTATTCTTTGCTATGGCAGGGAATGTGGTCAACAGAGAGAACATAGTCAGAGAGTAGTCAGCTTAGTGAGACAGACAAGCAACAGGAATAGATATTTTACAGAGAACATTTAGAGATAACCCAAACTCAAAAGCAGTAAATGATAAAGACTACTTCAGACAGACTTCAAGTAAACTCTCAGCATGACACAATCCCAGGCCAGATTGTATGGGACAAAAAGCAAACCTTGTGAAAGATACAGAAAAACCAACAAATGTAGGGATACCTTCTTGGCTCAGTAAATAAATGTCCAACTCTTGATTTCAGCTCAGGTAATGATCCCCCAGTCATGGGATCAAGCCCCACATTGAGCTCCATGCTAAGTGTGGAGCCTGTTTGAGATTCTCTCTCGCCCCCTTTTTCTCTGCACTTCTGCCACTCATATACAATGAGCTTAATGTGGGCTGAGAATGTGTCTTATTTATGTGAATATATCCAACAACAAATATGTGGTATAATTGGTGCTCCATGAATTTATTAAACAGTGGTGTGTATGCACATGTGTTTCTTTGCATATTAGTAGAGAAGGGAGTATGGCCCAAGATACATAGTACATCATATTGGGAACAGCTATCCTTAACTTTTCATCTTGCCTGCCATAATCCATTATTCTTCACTTTGACTTTTGGAATTTTGGAACTTAATACTAATTGTCATGGATTTTATATGTCTGGGTAATAAGGCCATTTAGTG